TTCTGCGCTGACCCTCTGTGAGACACTATAGCTTGTCTTTCAAACTTAGAGAAGGTCATTCCACCTTATATCAAGTTACTACCACATAGAGACGCGAATGGCCCTTTGCAGTATGTCTCTCCCACCCAGATAGCTGGGCTGCTCAAGACAGGGTGTCATTCTGTAGGGGGCGCACGACCTGCAGACTACAGCATGTCACTCCCACCCAAAGGCCCGGGATGCTCACTACAGCATGTCACTCCCACCCATGGGCACGACCTGCACATTACAGCATGTCACTCCCACCCACGGGCCCGGGCTGCACACTACAGCATGTCACGTCCCACCCACGGGTCCGGGCTGCACACTACAGCATGTCACTCCCACCCACGGGCCCGGGCTGCACACTACAGCATGTCACTCCCACCCAGAGGATCTGGGCTGCACACTACAGCATGTCCCTCCCACCCAGAGGATCCAGGCTGCACACTACAGCATGTCACTCCCACCCAGAGGCCCGGGCTGCACACTACAGCATGTCACTCCCACCCAGAGGATCTGGGCTGCACACTACAGCATGTCACTCCCACACAGAGGATCTGGGCTGCACACTACAGCATGTCCCTCCCACCCAGAGGATCCAGGCTGCACACTACAGCATGTCACGTCCCGCCCAGAGGCCCGGGCTGCTCACTACAGCATGTCCCTCCCACCCAGAGGCCCGGGCTGCACACTACAGCATGTCACGTCCCGCCCAGAGGGCTCTGGCCAGTGTTCGCCTGTCCATTAGCTTAGGAGCCCCTTGAGGGCAGACTCATGGCCCCAGCCGGACGGACCCAGCCCACAGCACAGGGGCAGCAGGGAGCTGGCCCCAGCCTGGGAGGCCCCTGGAGCCAGGGGTGGCTTGGGACAGTCGGGGACGGGCTCCGCTTGACTCTTTGGAGAGAATGGAGGCTGTGGGTCAGGGGGCAGCGAGGGGGGGAGGCAGGAGTCACTGGGCAGCCGGCCGAATTGGGACTTCTGGAGAGCAGCTGTCCCAACCCCAAGGCCTGAGGCCTGCTGCTCCAGCCTCATCAGGCCTTACACAGCCTGAGGCTAGACCAACCGTGGGCAAACTACGGCCCGCAGGCCAGATCCGGCCCGTTTTGAAATGAATAAAACTAAAAAAAAAAAAAAAAAAAAAGACCGTACCCTTTTATGTAACGATGT